GGACAATCGTAATAGCCCTCACCGTTTGAAACAGTGACGACTAATTGAGAACATTAACACAGCACAAAATGTGACTTGAATTGATAAATATCTTTATGTACTAATTGTTTAGAATTTATTTTTTCTTAATTAAAATTAAGTTTGTTTTTGAAATTTTCAAACCGTAAGTGAAATTGCACTGATTGCACCGCATTATGTGAGGTATTAAAGTACAATAATACTTCACATAGCGCTTGGTCCCTTCAATAATGATAAAACCGGACTAATCGAGAAACTAAATATAAACAAAAAATAAACGGTACAATAACAACATTTTGTGTACAAATTAGTAATTTGTTCAATTATTTTTATTTTTTGAAATTTTTAAACCGCATTAGTGAATTAGTACTAATCGAAACCGCAGTATGCGATGTCTTGCTTTACATTAATACCTTACATGGTGCTGTATGCTAATGGTTTTGCCAATAATAATAAAATCGGAGTAATCGACAATCTAAATATATACAAAAAATAAATAGTATCTAATAATGATAAAACCGGACTAATCGAGGAACTAAATATAAACAACAAATAAACGGTACAATAACAACATTTTGTGTACAAATTAGTAATTTGTTCAATTATTTTTATTTTTTGAAATTTTTAAACCGCATTAGTGAATTAGTACTAATCGAAACCGCAGTATGCGATGTCTTGCTTTACATTAATACCTTACATGGTGCTGTATGCTAATGGTTTTGCCAATAATAATAAAATCGGACTAATCGAGGATCTAAATATATACAAAAAATAAACCGTATCCAATAATGAAAAAACCGGACTAATCGAGGAACTAAATATTAACAAAAAATAAACGGTACAATATGAAAATTTTGTGTACAAAGTTTTAGAATTTTTGATTTGTTCAATTATTTATATTTTTTGAAATTTTTAAACCGCATTAGTGAATTAGCACTAATCGAAACCTCACTATGTGATGTCTTGCTTTACACTTACATGGTGCTGTATGCTAATGGTTTCGCCAATAATAAAATCGGACTAATCGAGGATCTAAATATATACAAAAAATAAACCGTATCTAATAATGATAAAACCGGATTAATCGAGGAACTAAATATAAACAAAAAATAAACGGTATCCGACTAATCGTGGAACTAAATCCACACAAGAAATAAACCGCACAAAAAGAGACTTGACTGTAAGAAAAAAAGTTGATTTATATATATATATATATTGTGTATTTATTTTCATTAATTCGTTTATTTTGAGATATTTATACTTATTCCGGACTGTTGAAGCCGCATTATTGCTGTCAAATATTTAAAATTTACAAACAACAACAATATCAGCAATTACAACATTATTATAATAACAGACGAAATAAATGTGCTGTTGCAATGAAACTTTCTTACTTGCATTCCGTTACGAAACGCATTGTATGCAATGCGGCTCATTTCAATACATGTGTAATTGACAATTTTCAAATCGTTTTCAACTCAATTTTGCTTCCACACAATGTTCCTTTGAAATTTATAGAAATTACGTCTCGCAATTCAATTCCGCGTTTTTTTTTTCTCTCTTTATAATGAGTTTTCTTTCGTGTCACTTTTCAATATAATTGAATTCCAAGAAAATTAATAGTATTCGTATAATAATTAAATATGTTTATTTCCATTAGAAATTTTAGTATCAATTGCTATTATATTTAAGAAAAATCACATTAAATCTACCGATCATAATCTGTTAATTATCAATTTTCTATACAGATGTTAAGCAATAGCGAGGATTCAATATAGTTCGGTTTAAAAAATTTGAAAAAAATTAAATGTTTGTGCGGTTTATTTTTGTATGTATTTAGTGCCTCAATCAGTCATGTTTCAAACAGTCCGAGGTATTGCCGTAATTGATCACCCGCACTATGCGAGGTATTGTTGTATTTCAAGACCATAAGATTACACTAAATAAACTTGAAAATAATTATTTGAATTCGAACATCACGCAAATATCACAATATTTGGAATCCATCCAAGTAATAGCCTTCACAGATGTTGCTTAACTTTTTTTAATCTGTCATCAACATTAAATGATAACTGTAATTCATCTATTGTATTATATACTGGGTGCGTAAGGTATTTGAGGACATCATTTTTTCTTGGTTGTACTGCATTCTAGTAAATTCTACTTTTAATGTTAGTAATTTAAAAGTAATGGCAAAACCCTACATGACTAAATGATTGAAAAGATATGCGTTTTTGGGTGAGAGGTCAATGCTAGCGCTGCTAGTGTTAGAGTAATGTCTGCTTTGAATCAAAATCATTCAAGCTTGTCGACGATTTAAATCTCGTATAGAGGTGCTTTTATTGATTGATTTTACTAAGAAATATTATATCTTCAATCCTTAAAATTTTTCAGAAATAAAATTTATTTCTTTTGTAGTATTTGCTAATTTATTGGCGAGAATAAATCTGTCTTTAAATAACTTACACACCCTGTATATATATGTTATTGACTTTATATTATTTAGTCCCCATTTTCTAGAAATTCTAGAATTAATAAATAACATCTAAGCTCAATCAATAGGTTTCGAAAATTTATTTAATGAAGATGATGGTTTAAGTTTTATGTAAGTTAATAGTTTATTTAACAAAAAAAAATCTTTCCATTTTGTATACGAATGTACGAATGTTTATGGGAGCGGATCCTATTTGTTAGTCACATTTATATAAAAATCTAATTTAAATTTTATTTTTCAGTTCCGGTTCAAAGTCTATAATATATTAGATTTTTACTTGAAAATGGAATACGTTTCATCTTAAAGACGACCTTATATAATATGCCTCTATCTACTTTAATTTATCATTTTGCGGATTTATATTCTACTAGGTTTTAACATGTAAAGTTTTGCAATTATAATGAAAATGTTAGACATTATATAATATTTTAAAATAATATGTGTAGAAAATTTGTTTATTATTTTCCTTCATATCTCTTAATGTTTTAAATATTATAATTATAATCATTTGTGTAATAGTTTTTTGATTTAAGGAGACTTAACTATTGATAAACAAGTAAATAATTGAGCCCAAATACAATTTTGTTTAAGACTCTCAAATAGTGATACTACCTGCCATCTAGGACCCTCGATTGTATGTGAGTAAGAATCACAAAGCATCATATCAACTAATCAATCATACTTTAAACCAGTGGTTTCCAAACTTGATGTTACTACGCCTCCCTCAAAAGTATGTAATCATTTGGCGCCTCCCCACCCCCTCCATTTCATAAAAGGAACGCGTATTACAGCAATATGGATAAGAGCACAGGCATGTATCTATACTTGCTGGATTCCCCATTCCGCTTTAATATGCATATATTGGATTCATTCTATCTATTATTGTTTTCGAGAAAATCAATGAAATATGAAAACACTGCTTTTTCGAACGTTTCAATTTTTCAACTTTGAACGCGTATTACAGCAATATGGATAAGAGCACAGGAATGTATCTATACTTTAGCAGATATTTGGAAAATTGCTCACTGCTACTAATATTCGCGCCTCCTCTTAGACTAGTCCACGCCTCCCCAGGGAGGCGCGCCTCACAGTTTGGAAAACGCTGCTTTAAACAGAACATTAAAATATTGATTATCAAAATTTGTTTTCATTAAAATGAATTGAAACGAATACATAAAATATCCCGGTTTTGCCAATATCCCGAACTCTTTGATACCGGCTAATCTAGAAAACTAAATGCATACAAGAAATAAACTGAGACTTAATCGTATAAATGAAAAAAAGATTATCTCTGTATAAAACAATATTTTTTTTTACTAATTTTTCAATTAAGTGTTTGAATCTGCACAAATATTCGATAATTAATTAATTAAATAAGTGAGTTAAGGATAGTAAAACTATAATTGGTTTATAATTATATTTTTTCTTTAATAATTATAAACATTTTTTTCTCAACTCATTTATTTATTTTATTTTTGTTTATTTGAGTGAGTACATATTTTTATTTATATACTTGTATGTGTGCTTATTTCTCTTGCTTCTTATTGATTTTTCTGTACAATTTTTTATATTTTATTTAAAAATAATAATATGATTTTTGTGAAATTAGTTGTGAAATTAAAAAGAAAAAATAATATTTTATGAGAATATTTATACCAAAACAAGAATTAATTAAAAAAATGTCTTTAATGCGCAATTTTCGTAATGAATTACGTTTCTTTCATAAAAGATATTTCGCTTGAGGTGCATAAATCTAAATGTATACACATTTCCGCAAATTCCTCCGTTTTTCCATCCGTCGCGAAGATGCTAATCCAGCTCAGTCGCCATGAAAGATGCAACTTGTGACAGAACCTTAATCTGCGAACAAAAGAGGGAAACGTAAGAAACTTGCAAGGATAATAATTTATAAAGAAGTTCCAAGGACCGTCGATCGAGAGCGAAACAAAAGAAAGTTGTTTTCAGAAGTAAACCGTATTAAGCGTGAAAGAGTATTTAAATGATTCATTAAGAAGTTCGCTTTGTCGGTTCGCGTAACGAATCGACAACTAAATGAACTTATAAAGGAACACACATGAAACTTTAATGGCACAAACGAATGTGCAGAAATACGCAAAGCAAATACACACCGAGATTTCCGTTCCGTGACGTTCAAATATTTGTCAGGGTTTGTTGCTAGAACTTTCCGTTCGCACAAAGCTACAGAAATTTATTAATAACTTCACCCATATTTCGGTGGGAACATGAGGAATTGACTAAGACAAAGATTCGGACACCTCATTAAATAGATAAAAGAGAGCTTCTTCTAATTAACTACTCGGAATATATATAGTTTACATTCTTTTTGTTTTACGATTTTGCCGCCGGTTTCTTTCAGCCTGAAACGAGATTATAATGTGCGTGTATATATATATATATGCGTATATGTGTGTGTGAGGAAAATAAACGCACGCGCGATTATTTTGGCTCCACTAAACCACATCTTCACTTCCGCGCCGCAGTCAACATCCAAACATCGTTCCTGCTGCAGATCAGCAGGAACGGGACAGGATTTCGAAAATAAACCAAAAAGTAAATCAATTTAAATTAAAAAGTAATAATACGCGAAAGTGAAACATTATATAGAACAAAGAGAATAAAATCGCGCGCGTGTTTACATAAGAATCCAACCCCTCGGCTACTCTTGTTCCACTTTTATTTAAGACTTCTTAACAGGTGCGTTTAAAACTCCCGCTTTGCGCAAAACAAACATACAGAAATATATGTGTATCTTTTTCAATGCTCGAAGACCATCAATCATCATTATGTCATTCGCGATGGACATCGATCGTACACGCTTGCTCTAATTGCTTTTTTCCATTTGCATACATCTATTATTACATCAAATTTACTTATGAATCGATCAATTGTTGAAGACAACCTTTTCGTTTTACTATGCAATTGCCGACTTGAATAATGTAGGCTTTGATAAGCTCCAATTAATATGCACCTGGCGCATCCACCGCATTTTCCCATTATTTATACGTTATTATATGTAATTTAAATTTAAATCAATCGTTTGATTAATCTTTTTTTTTCTCATAAATATGTTTTTGTAAAATTTTTTAAAGAATTATTTTGAATTTTTTTAACTAATTACAATAAGATATTCTACTAGAATTGTAACATGTAGAGTACCTCGCATAGTACGGCTTCGATCAGTCCGAATTTATCATAATCCGGTTTGAAAGTTTTGTATCAAACTAATTTTTTATCAAAAGAAAACTCTACACAAATATTTGTTATCGGATTATTCGAAACTTGACTGTATATCCTTTATATGCGGTTATTTGTTTTCTGATAAATGTGCTTATGTAAAATATATTTTTTATATAATTATATTGAAATGTTTAAACTCGTACAGTACAGCTTCGATCAGTCCGGATTTATAATAGTTCGGTTTGAAAATTTTGAAACACACTAAATTATAATTGAAAAAAAATGTTTCTCGATTAGTCCGGTTTTAAATAAAGTGAGCTATTGGCAGAATTGATTTCTCTTTGTATTAAAATATACAAGAATTATAAAATAATGAAACATTTATTACTTTAGTTGATGCGAACTTTAGGAAAATTTTCATTTTTTTTTTCTAATAAACTTTTTCAAAATTATTCAGAAAATTAAAATGAAGATACAATTTGAGATGTAGCGTATTGTGAATTGATATGTTTCTTTGTTCTTTGATAAAAAAAAATTATTACATCAAAAACCATATTGAGTAAACATTCTATTTATATATCACGTGAAAATTGAAGATTCCAGTAAAAGCAAAAAAATATTATAACTTTTCTATATTTTTTCAGGAAATATTTCATCAAATAAGTTTATATATTTTTATAAATTAATCCAAAATTATAGCTTAAATTAAAACAGTAATTATCAATCATTCACACACGTTACTTAACTTTACTTAATTTGCTACACAAAAGCAGTTTTAAATTAATTAGGTGTTCATTAAAGATGCTTATTGTTACAATTATTAAGCATTACTAATTTAAATATTTTATTTATACAAAGAAGTAAAGTAATCATGAGATTAAACACGTTTTTCACTCTTTAATCAATGACAAATTTCAAATGACTTACAGTATTTATTCAAAATATTAGATGAATTTTTTTCTCAACATTAAATTGACTGAAAACATTTCATTCTCAATTTTTTGCAATTATAATTATATCCTCCACCGACGATGCTTAACTATTATAATCATTATTTTTATTTTGTACACATTATAAACAAGTAGTTTTTAATTATGTATACGATTTATGTTGAAGTATTCTTTACTAATTATTACTAATGTTTGTTTTACATAATATACCATAATAAATGTAAAATTTCAAATGATTTATTGTGACTTACAATAATAAATTGACAAGAAATTTTTGCCAATAATTAATAGACTAAAATGAAAATATTATGATTTAGACTTTTAAATTTTAACAAAATGAGTACTTTTGTATCAAACACAAAGTACTGATATGTTTCTAAATAATTTTATGTAAGTTGATGTGTTACTTACTTCTATGAATAGAGTGTGGGCGTTATATAAAAAGAACTCTCGCTGAAGTTAAAACTACCAAAATTATGGTGACACTATCAGCATAGACGTAACCGTTCTAGGAATATATGTGATTTAGTTAATAGTCCAACTTATCTTAAATTTGAAAACATAAAAGAAGTTGGAAACATTAATAGTATATTGAAATTAAAGAGTTTTTACCAGAATGCTTAAATTATTAATTTTAAATAAAAATATTTTTATATAATTGATAAAAAATGAGTAAAGTGATTAATTAATTTTATAATAGAATTTACTATTTAATTAAAAATATGTATTTTTCAATGATTATACAAAAATAAGATTTGTTTTGTGTGGAATTTTGTAAGAATTTTATTAAAAATTGGTATAGATTTGTATTTTTTCACGTAAATATTTAACGAGAAATGTAAGAATAATAAATTATGGAATAGAGATTTTTAGTAAATCTATATACTGAATACCTCGCATAATGCGGCCCCGATTAGTCCGGAATTACTGTAGTAAAGAAAACAACTAAAATTTACTGCACAAAATTAGTATTTTTTATACATAAAAGATCATTTCTTGTTAAACAATTAAATCTCTTTTAGTGCTGTTCATTCATGTGCACTTTCAAGTGCTCGATTAGTACGGTTTCCAACAGTGCGGGATATTTTTGGAACTATGCCAAGTATTCATGTATTTTCTAGTGAAATTTATCATATTTTTCAAAATTACGATTTGTTTCGACGATTTTTATAAATACAAAGAAATAATTAAAAATACAAATGAATAAAATAAATCTAAATTTTGTAAAGTATTGAAAAATTAAATAATAGGTTATTAACCTTCTTATTTACTTGAAACTTGAAATAAATCTATTTTATAATGGAATTTTCAAATGTATTTATAAACGTACAGAATTTTTTTGAAGGATTTTCAATGAATACAATGAATTGAGTTCAACATTCGAATGGAAATATAGTCAGTATATATCTGAAAGATTTACATTTTCGAACTCGCGATTTTCTGTTGGCATTTCTCGTGTGTATTTGCATCGTTTTAATTTAGACGGGAATCAAAATCTTGTGTAAATATTATTACAATCGGCAATATGTAAATATTATTAAAGACCTTGTAAATGAAATATTTCTCGGCCAGACTTTACCAGTTATTAAAATGTGATTTCATGTAATTTCGACAACAGTCAAGTTGTTTGTTAAATACAATAATTTCGATTTGTTCAATTCGACAAAATGTTTGTTATGTCTGATTCTACAACAACTGATATTTATAAAACATTAATAACTAGTATTTTCATAGAAATTATAGAAATTATAGAAATCATAGCAAGAATGAAATTATAATTTAAGAAAAATGGTAAGTAAAATAAGTTTTGTTGTATTATATAAATTATACAGTAGAAAGCCTTTAAAAAATGGAGTCGGCAAATGCGGCTCTTTTGGTAAGGAGTTACGGCTCCCAGTCCTCACAGTAAAACTATATAGGAAAATTAATTTCACTAGAAAAATACTGATTGTAATGTTACTTGCGGCTCTTTTTTAACAGACAAATGGCTCTTTTATGCAAAAGTTGCCGACCTTTGTCATATATCAAACATGCAAATAGCAGACTATCGCCCTTGATTGCAAACATAATAATTCTTTTAAAGAATTGATAACAATGTAAACAGAAAGCAAATATTATTGAAAAGTTATAAAAATAAATGGTAACTCATGAAACATATGAAACTTTAAAGCTATTCGAATTATTTACTAGATGTATTTTACATGATTCATCGAAGAACGTTTACATAACACGTTTATTTTAAGTTGTATTTGTAACTGCACTCATGAACATTGTATAATTTAATAGTAAAATGATTTTAATAAAATACTGATTCGTTGTATGCACTAAGCATTCATTTTATAACTTATATAATCTTGTATACAGCAATAACTCGTATAGTCCGAATTTGCTATAGTTTGGTTTAAAAATCCTCGATTTGTCCGGTTTCATACAGTACAGTAATCTCCAATATTATACTTTTTCAATGATACACATAATATTTTCTAGGATTTTTTCATATTTGGTAAACGTTTTTTTCTATTATATGGTCAAGTCTCTTCTTGCGTAGTTTATTTTTATGCGGTTTTCAAATCCTCGATAATACGGAAATAATACGGGATATTGGCAGAACCGTACTAATCGGGGTAGTTTATTTTTAAGCAGATATTATATACGGAAATAATACGGGATATTGGCAGAACCCGCACTAATTGAGGCAATTTTTTAAGCGGTTTTCAAATCCTCGATTTCTCCAGTTTCAAACAGTATGGGATATTGTCAGAACCCGAACCAATCGGGGTAATGCTGTATTTATATATAATTAAAGTGCAAGTATTTTTATTTATAAATTAATACTTTAGTAAACATGTTTTTTAGATCAACAAAATCGTTAAAAAAATTACTTTAAACTAAATCTGTTCAATCTATATACTAAATCTTCAATATTGCACATTTTTCTGGATTTTCATTGCATTTAATGGAAATAATGCAATAAATATTTCACGATTTAAATACATACTTTGTTGATAAGATATACCAAGCGATAGCAAATGCGGCTCTTTGTTGAGTTAAGTGCGGCTCTTTAATAAATTAAAAACCGGAATGCGGTTCTCTTTGAACTTGTTTGTTCCTACCTCTGTTACATATATTATTACCATTATTAATGCTACTGTGTTATTTTATTGAAGTAATTATAATAAAATATATTAACATACATTGAATATTGAATTGGAAAACATTTTTAACCGAAAATGAACAATATTATTTCATTTTGGGAGATAACTCCAGGATATATATTTATGTTTATGTTTATGTTTTCGGAATACATTATCCGATGAAGTACATAATCGATAAATTACCAGGTATAGACTAAATTTAGGAATAATAATACTCGCATGACTAAGTAGTTTACGTTACGCTAAAATAGAAAATATATATTTTTTTTACATTTATTTTACAAGTCTATACATTTTGTTATATTTTCTGTAAGTCTACTAGTTAGAATTTAGTTTTAAATCTATTGCTTTTAACTTATAATGATTAACGTTTCTCTTTTCTAATTATAAAAGGATACTTAATTTTGAATAA